TAATCAGTTAGGAATTTGATACAGAAGGATGTACTCTGAATCTTTTGCTAAAGTCACCTAATAGGTTTGAGGGTATATTCTGTATAAAAAATTTGTTAGCTTTTGTAGAGTTATAAAGAAATTAGGACTCCTATATTCAGAACCTAAAATAAGATTGACAAGGAAAGATATGTGTACATAAAAAGTTAGAAAATATGTACTATCATTAGGGATCTACCTGATTTGTATGATTAACTGAAAACATGCATGACATAATCAGTAAGGGCCCTATGTTTGTAGAAAGACATGGGAAATGGGATTGGAAAGGAATGAATGTTAAGTGAGTATAGATTCTTTACCAGTGGAAGTCTGGGATCCAAAATGCAGAGGTAAAATATTGTAAATGAACACAACATGCATAGAGGAAGACTTCTTGTTGGGTAGAAATGCATGCCATAATCATGATTACTATTTTTCAGGTACTTTTGTATGCTGGCATTGGTCTAATCATTAGGTTTAGATTCCATTATTATGTGCATTTTACAGTTGAGAAAACTAATGCTCAGAGAGGTTAATGAAATTACTGTGTCATAATTTGTAAATGGTAGAGTAGAGCTTTGAACTCAGATTTGTTTGATTTAAAAGACTATGTATAATGTGGAATAATATTGTACTAGAATAATGACTGTGAAGCCTCCTTTTTTTGGCTTTTTCTGTTTCTTGTGATTTCTTTGTTGTTTCCTACCTTTGACACATTTCAAAATTATTGTATTGGTTCTAATATTTTAGTGTTTTGAATTGTGTTACTTTCTACCCTTGTAAACTTGCCCAATATTCAGTTCTACTGTGAAGCCTGGAAATCAGTAGGCCTCTATTTTGATCCCAGTTCTGCTACAGGCTCCCTTCAAGTACTAGCTAATCTGATCCATTTTAGTTTCTTCACCTAAAAGTAAAAAGTTTGTTTAAATATTTTATCATTCTCATCTTAGCAGCAACAATATTAATAAGAACAGTGATGATTTCAACAGTGTTCAGTACTTAGAATATCACTTGGTATGTAGTAGTAAATGCTCAGTAAATAGTTGTTGAGTGAACATAGGCATTGAGCACATAATGTATGTTAGGCATTACCAGTGCTTTGTATATATAACTCATTTAATTATATCAACGTCTCTTTGAAGTAGATACTATCATTATATTTGAGATGAGGAAATCCAAGTTAAAGACAAGTTAAATAACTTGCCATGGTCCAGGAGTTAAACCTAAGCTAATGTCTGTACTTTTAACCAGTTATACTAATGATTCTCTTTTGTACATCATTTTGTGTCGTTTGTACATCAGAATCACTTGTGAAGTTTGTTAAACTATCAATATCTTAGCCCCACAACTAAGAGTCTGTGATTCAACAGGTCACATTTATTCTGTAGTACTTGAGCTGTCCTGTGGAGTCACCTATTTAAACTTGCTTTAGAAATTCTGGTGGTACATTATACCCAGAGTTTTTTCAATTATGTTATTGACTAATGAATTGGCAGTCTTGGTTGTTTGGGTTTTTAGTTCTCCTGTAATTTATTCTTTTTTGCTTTTTACAAGTTCTCTGTCAGTTTACCCAATGCGCAATAAGTGAAATACTCTATTTGAGTTTGAGTACTGCCTTTGCCATGTATTAGTTGTGCATATCCTTAGATAGGTTACTAAACTAATAAGGTTTGATGAGTTTTCCCCTGCTAGTTATAAACTAACATATTTATCTATCTAAGGATATGACTGTGAGGTTAAATATGATGATGAACAATGTTTATGATACAGAACCATTCAGAAATGTTAGTTGTTTCAGAAATTTTATTTATCATGTAACCATTACACATAGAAATAAAAGAAATTTAAGAGACCGTTTTAATATTATCAGCAAATAATATGGCCTTTTAAAAAAAAGAGTTGCTTTTTTTCCTTCTAAAGTTTTCTTTAGCTTCAGCAGTGTAGGGTACATAATGGAAGCTTACTTTAATTGACATTTTCTTTACTGAGTGGTTACATTTGCTGAGGCCTAGGATATTATATTTTATGATGTGGTTCCCAACTTAAGATATTTTCACAAGATTGGGAACTTTGATCTTCATTTTATTATTACAAGCTCAGCCTCTGGTATCTGATTTTAACAGTACCAGTTTCTGGTGAGTAATCATTTATGTTCTACATTTAGACAGCTGGAAATTGCTTCTATGGGGAAGAGTAATGTTTGCATCATGCCAGCTACCAGAGTTACATACTTATGAGTCTCTAGCTTCATGTTTTGAAGTAGGTATAAGCGTTTGATCTTAAAAGGCTTTTAAAAATTTCAGCAATAACATCTGTACATGTACTTAATCCTTTAGAAGGAAAAAAGCAAATCTTTTTGAAAAAGGCCATATATTTGCTTTTAATACTAAAATTGTCTCTTAAATTTCCATTATTTCTATGTATAATGATTACATAATAAATCTGTCTGGGTTTTTTTTCTGATACCCCATAGCACTTCATACATAACTGCAATAAGCCCTTCTTCAGATAAGTAACCATTCAAAAAAAGAATATAAAATGTTACTTTGAAACAAAGATTTATTGAATTTGTGAAAATTATGCTCTGCTGGAATTGTTAGAAATGCTAGGAATGAAAAATTATTTATGTAGAAATGGGATATCATTACAAATTATCCATATCTTAAGAGAACATGATAGTGACTGAAACTTTCAAAACAACAATTTACATTAACATTTCTCATTTTATGAAGAGTTCAGTTCAGAGTTCTTTCTTTATTCACAAAATTTAGATGATATGTAATTTTTCACAATAGCACAGTGTATTAGAGTAAAACACATCTTTGCATAGTCACACTTAACACATTGTCAGAACTAACCTTGTAGTCTTAATTTTTACCTTTTTCAGTAATCTGATTCCTAAAGATGCCTTAATCATAGTTAATTAGAACTCAGTGTTAAAAAATACAGATGTTAAATTAAAAAGTTCTCTGCAAAAGACCCAATTAAGAGAATAAAAAGCTAGGGATTAGCAGAAAATATCTGTAAAACAAGTATCTAAAGGACTTGAATCCAAATTATACAATGACATCTTAAAACTCAGTAGTAACTTTAAAAAAATGACCCAATTAAAAAGTAGGCCAAAGACCTGAACAGACACTTCAGCAAAGATGCATAGATAACAAATAAGTTTATGAAATGTACTCAATATCATATATCATTGGGGAATTGCTTATAATATTTCACACCTGTTGGATTGGCTAAATCCAAAATACTGACAACAGTAAATGTGGACTAGGATATGGAATAGCAGGAGCTCTTATTCATTGCTAGTGGCAATACAAAATGGTACAGCCACTTTGGGAAGCTAAATGTAGACTTAGACAATCAAGCAATTGCATACCTTGGTATTTGCCCAGATGTGTTCAAAACTTAAGTTCACACAGAAACCTATACATGTCTGTAGCATCTTTGTTCATAATTGCCAAAATGTGGAAGGATTCAAGATGTCCTTCAGTAGGTAAATGGATAAACAGACAATGATTATTATTCAGACAATGATTATTATTCAATGATGAAAGCAACTGAGCTATCAAGCCACTAAAAGATAGAGGATCCTTAAATGCATATTGTTAAGTGAAATAAGCCAATTTTAAAAGGCTACAATATGTGTGATTCCAAATATATGACATTCTGGGAACGGCAAAACTACAGAGACATTAAAAAGATCAGTGTTTTCCTGGGGTTGACAGGGAAGTTGAGTAGGTAGAGCACAGGAGAGTTTTAACCCTAACCCTAGCCACAGGAGAATTTTGACATTTGTGCGTTTGTCAAAATCCGTAGAACTGAACAATACGAATAGCTACTCCTAATGTAAACTATGGACCCTAGTTAATAATAAGTTACCAATATTGTTTCATCCATCATAACAAATGTATCACATTAAGCAAGATGTTAATAAATAAGGCAATCTGTGGGGACAGGGGAGTATGTAGGAACTCTACTTCTGCTCAGTTTCTCTGTAACTCTGAAGCTGCTCTAAAAATATAAACCCTGTTAATTGAATAAATGTATATGTATAATTGTTCACCAGATGGGTAATGATTCAGTTCAGAAGTTACTTACTAAGCAAAGACTGAACTTTGCTAGGTTTTATAGCTCTGTTCAGCCCTTACCCAAAATATGTAGTGATTTGAGATAGTCTGTGGTTTTATCAGAATGAATTGAGTGGTCAGAAAGCATTTTAAACTTTTCTTGAAAGAAGATTTGGTCCCAAACTTAACTAGCTGGGTTATCTTGCAGAAATTACTTAGCCTTTTAAAACTTCCCTTGCATCTACTGCACAAGGTGGTGGTTTTAAAACATTAGTTAACAAATGTGCAGCATCTGGCAAGTAGTAAGCACTCAATACTAGCTCTAATGATTAGTTTTATGTTTTCCACCTAACGAGAAGTGGAAGAATGGCTGTCATTGACCTTCAATGTTCAGTCACATTTTGGTTGTCTTTCTAGATTTACCCACGGTACTTTGAGAAAACTAAGGATCAAACACATGAAATTATCATTTGCTTGCGGATTTGATACATTTGAGTTTCTGGAGGAGAAATTGCTTTTACAGTTGTCTTTGGGATCAAGTAGGCAGTTCACTCATTGCTAATGTAACACTTTCCTTCTTTTCTAAAAATAACAGCAGCTAGCTTCTTCTTCCCCCAATAAAAACCTTCATGTCAGAGAAGCTTACAAATAGATACCAGCCAATCCAAACCTTGAAATAAAAACTTAATTTAAAAAATTGAAAAAAATTACAGTGTTTACTGATTCTTAATGTTGTAAATCAAAATTATACAGATTTTGCTCTAAAAAGCTATAAGCCACAATTTTTTTTCCAATTAATAGTTTTAAATATAAGCTCCCTGAATTCAGGTTTTGTCAGCAAGTAATGTGAATCTTTATTGGAAGATGACTGTAATACACAATAAAAAATACTGTTTTTCTTATTAATAGCTTCCAGCAAATTGGAAAGAAAAATTCACAAAATGTGGGGGAAAGAAAACATTCATAAAAGTGTAACCATCAATTCTTACTTAAACAGTCCCTGAAAAATGGAGGAGGTAAAAACTATTGAAATAGAGGTAAGTGAGTTGTGCTTTTCAGTCAGTAGTGTTTTCTCTTGATTAAAGCTTGCATATAGTTTGCCTTGGGAAAAAAATGGAGGAACTCTGTAGGAGAGAATACAACTGTCTGGAGGGGAGGAAATGGTTGACCTATACTTGAAAATCACTAACCAACTGGCATTTAATATTTAACATTGAGTAGAACAAGATATCTTTTATTATACAGACTTCTAACTTACGTACTCATATTGACAAAACTTTGTATTAACTGGACATTAACATGCCTCTCTGTTTAAGTCCAGCAGGATTTATGCACATACTTTCTCTTATGAAATTGTCATAATAGTTAACAGTGGAGAACTAAGCATATTTCAGACAGATGACTTTTTAAAAAATTATTTATTTATTTATTTATTATTTCTTAATTAAGGTATGATTGATATACACTCTTATGAAGGTTTCACATGAAAAAACAATGTGGTTACTACATTCACCCACATTATCAAGTCCCCACCCATACCCCAATGCAGTCACTGTCCATCAGTGCAGCAAGTTGCCGGAGATCTACTATGTCCCTTCTCTGTGATACACTCTTCTCCCCTTGACCCCCCACTCAGACAGATGACTTATATCTCTTATGTATAGTAAAGGCAATACTGAAAGTATTATGTAAGCGTAGTGAATTAACTTATGATAAACCCCAGTTGTCATTAGAACTGTAGCTTTTGAAGGAAACATCTTTGTAAATGTGTTTTTATGGTTCTGTTTTAAAAGCTATGATAGTAATGGTGCTTTTACTCTGAATTGAGTGAAAGAAAGACATTGGAGGGTCTTTCTAAGAAAGAGAACTTCGTGGAAAACTATTTTAGAGTAGCTATCTCCTGGCCACCAAAGAGGAATTCACTGTATGAGTATAAGCATAAGCTTCAGAGAACAAGTTGGATTTATTGTCACAAGTAGAAACTTATTCTACCAGCCCATCTCCATACATTTTGCCTACTGTTTTTTATGTCATGTGGAATGCCCCTCTTCCTTTTTCTCTTGGTGAAATTCCTGTTTGCTCTTTCAGAATCCAGTTCCACTCTACTTAAGTCTACAAAGGTTTACCTGACATCTCTCACTTTAGGAAAGACAGTGTCTTATCCTCTTCTCTTATAGTTCTGTTAAACCTAGTATTGTTTGTATTATAAAGCAACAGTCCTTTCTGTAATTAAATAACCTACCAGTGTATTCATCCCTTGGGGAGATACAGTTACCCATCCAGTTGGATAAGGCTAAAACCAAAGGATCATCTTTGTTGTCTCTTCCCTTCTTAACTTTTCCATAAGCTATATCAGTTTTCTCTGCTAAACTTCTTTCTAATCAGTCTTGTTCTCTATCTCCAATACCTTCACCATAGCTCAAATGATCATCTCTACCAGAATACTGCAGTAGGCATCTTTGGATCTGAAGAGTCTCTTGTAGACAGCATGTAGTTGTATCACATTTTAAAATTTATTCTGCCAAACTCTGTCTTTTGATTGGAGAGTTTAATCCACTTAAATTTAAAATAATTACTGATTAGAAGTTACTTCTGTCATTTTGCATTACTGTCTCTTTTGCGTTTAGTTGTTTTTGTAGTAAAACATTAAAAAATATCCTTATTTCCTTTTGTGTATACACTATAGCTGTTTTCTTTGTGTTTATATTTAATATTCTCAAGTTATAACATTATTTGAATTAATACCAGCTTAACTTCAGAAACATACAAGAACTCAGCTCCTTTACAGTTCCATTCCCATCCTTTTCATTTATTGATGTCACAAAATTACATCTTTGTATATTGTGTATCTAAAAACATGAATTAAAAATTGTTTTTTTAAATGTATTAGCCTCTTTTTTAAGTATGTTTTTTATTGAAATACAGTTGATAAGCAAAATTATATTGGTTTCAAGTATGCAACACAGTCATTCAATAGTTACACACATTAATAAATCCTCATACCAACTACTGCAGGTACTATCTGTCAATGTAGAAGGATCTTACAGACCACTGACTACATTATCCGTGCTGCACTTCCATCTGCATCACCAATTTATATTATGATTGAGATTTTTGTGGTTCCTTATCCCCCTCACCCACCCCAGCCTCTCCCCCATGGTAACCACCAGTCACTTCTCAGTGTCTCTGAGTCTACTGCCATTGTTCATTTTGTTTTTAGATTGCACGTATAAATGAAGTCATATGGCATTTATCTTTCTCTGGCTTACTTCACTTAGCATAATACTCTCTAGGTCCATCCATGTTGTCAGATAGGGCAGGATTTCATTCTTTTTATGGCTGAATAATAGTCCATTGTGTATATGTACCATGTCTTCTTTATCCATTGATCTGCTGATGGACATTTGGTTGCTTCCATATCTTGGCTGTTGTAAATAATGTGGCAGTAAACATAAGGGTGCATATATATCTTTCAAATCAGAGATTTTGTTTGGATAAATCCCTAGGAGTGGAGTTACTGGGTCATACGGTATTTCTATTTTTAGTTTTTGAGGAACCTCCATACTGCTTTCCTTAGTGACTACACAAATTTACATTCCCACCAAGTGTTGGAGGGTTCCCTTTTCATCCGTGTCAACACTTATTATTTCTGTATTAGTTTCTTAAATTATATAAAAATCAAAATATAGTTTCAAACCAAAGTTACATTAATACCAGCTATTAGCTCTTAAATCATGTAAAAAACAAAAAATGGAGTTACAAACCACTGTTATAATACGAGCTCTTATAATTGCTCATATATTTACCTTCAGTGAGGTCTTTATTTCTTCATATGGCTTCAAGTTATTCTCTCATGTCCTTTCATTTCATACTACAGGACTCCCTTGGGAATTTCTTGCAGGGAAGGTCTTGTGAACTCTCAGCTTTTGTTTACCTGAGAATGTCGTAATTTCTCTCTCACTTTTGCAGGACAGTTTTGTTGTATATAGTTATCTTGGTTGACATTTTTTTGTCTCTTAGCATTTTAAATATATGGACCCCCTGTCTTCTGCCCTCCTGAGTTTCTGATATGAAGTCTACTGATAATCTTATTTAAGACCCCTTGTATGTGTCTATTCACTTCTCTCTTACTGTTTTTATGATTCTTTGTCTTTAGGCTTTTTACATTTCAGTATAACGTGTCTCATTGTGGGTCTCTGAGTTCGTACTCCTTGGAATTTGTGGAGTTTCTTGACTGTTTATATTCATGTCTTTTGTCAAATTTGGAAAGTTTTTGATTATTATGCCTTCATCTAGCCTCTCTGTTCCTCCTTCCTCCTTCTAGGACTCCCACAGTGTGTGTATTCATTTGCTTGATGATGTCCCAGAGGTTCCTTAGGCCCTCTTCACTCTTCTTCAGGGTGGAATGAGAGTGCAACAGTGTATGCCCACCTCTGTGTCTCTACTTTTCTCCTCTCTGGAGAGTGGGAAGTGGGGCTGAAAATTCCAGGAACATGGTTTGGTCTGTCTGGTGACCCGCTCCCATCCAGGAGCCCACCAAAGAGTTAGTTTATTAGAATAAAAGACACTGCTGTCACCCAGGACATTCCAAGGGATTTAGGAACTGTGTTAGGAATAAGGGTCAAAGACCAATGTATATTTTTCTTTCATTTCATAAGTATATAACTTTTTGACTTGTCTTCTTTCACTTAGCAGAATGTATTTAAAATTCATCTAAGTTGTGATATGAATTAATAGTTGTTAAAAGACATAAATATATAAACAGCCAAGGAGCTCAACAAATTCCAAGTAATATGAACTCAAAGACCCACACTGAGACACATTATAATGAAACTGTCAAAAGCTAAAGACAAAGAGAGAATCTTGAAAACAGCAAGAGAGAATACAATACAATGAATGGTATTTCATTGTAATTAAATATCATTATTTGTTTAACTGTTCACCTATTGAAGACATCTTGGGAGCTTCCACTGTCATGAACAAGCCTTCTGGAAACATTTGCATGCAGGGTTTTGTGTGGTCATAAGTTTTCAAATCAGTTGGCTAAGTACCTAACAGTGTAATTCCAGAGTCATATGGGAAGTCTGTGTTTAACTTTCTAAAAACTGTCTTCCAAAAACAGTTATACCATTTTACATTCACACCAGCAGTGAAGGAATGTCCTGTTGCTCTGTATCCTCACTAACATTTGGTATTGTAGGTTTTTTTTGCTTTTAGCTGTTCTAGTATGTATGTTGTGGTATCTCATTTTTCTTTTAACCTGCATTTCTATGACAAGTGCTGTTCAACATTTTTTATATGCTTATTTACTATCCTTATTTCTTCATCATGAAGTCTCTGTTCAGATCTTTTCCTCCTTTGAAAATTTGTTGTTTTTTTTCTTATTTTTGAGTTTTAAGAGTTTTTAATATATTCTGGATGTGAGTCCAGATAAACAGATATGTTGTTTGCAGATATTTTTCCTAATCTGCAACTTGATTTTTCATTCTCTTTTGCAGTGTCTTTACCAAAGGAAAGAGCTTAATTCTGATAAAGTTCAATTTATCATTTGTTTTCATATATTTTGCTTTTATTTTTTATTTATTTTTATTTTTTATTTTGTTATCATTAATCTGTAATTACATGAAGAACATTATGTTTATAGGGTCCCCCTTTCACCAAGTCCCCCCACAAACCCCATTACAGTCACTGTCCATCAGCATAGTAAGATGTTGTAGAATCACTACTTGTCTTCTCTGTGTTGCACAACCCTCCCCATGGCCGCCCCCCACATTATACATGCTAATTGTAATACCACCTTTCTTTTTCCCGCCCATATCCCTCCCTTCCTTCCCATTCTCCCTAGTTCCTTTCCCTTTGGTAACTCTTAGTCCATTCTTGGATTCTATGATTCTGCTGCTGTTTTGTTCCTTCAGTTTTTTCTTTGTTCTTATACTCCACATATGAGTGAAATCATTTGGTATTTGTCTTTCTCTGCCTAGCTTATTTCACTGAACATAATACCCTATAGCTCCATTCATGTTG